TGTGTTCTTTGTTCTGGCCTTGGTCCCACGGGTATCCCAGCCTGGGGTCTCGGAAGACTGAAACAAAGCTGTGGGTTCAGGAAGACCACCTGGGGAGCCACATGCCAACAGAGCTAGAGCTGCTCCTCAGGTAGTGGTCAAAGTGAGGTTTGGCACACATCATCCTTTGAGTGAAATGACTGGTAAAAGAGATGCACTAGGATATTATTTTAGGTTTGAGGGTGTTTGCATTCAGTCCCATGGAAGGCTTGTTTTGCAAGCTGGAAAAGTGCCCTATATTATTTCTGCATGTTACTAATTCACACTGTTTCAGCTGTGCTGCATAGATACAAACTAGTATAAATACCTTTACCCATATTGCAGTTTTCTTCATGGTCCATCAGCTTGTCAAGCTCCAGTCTTGTTAAATGAAATTGCAGTATTTCTTTGCCTTATGCAGGGTTAGCCTTATGCAGGTACTCGAAGACCGTAAAATGAGACTCAGATGAAGCATGACAAATTAATGTTCAGAAACCTGACTTCTTTCAAACAAATTTGGCTTTTTTTAAAAAAAGCTGGGAAAGAGCAAGAACACTGCTACCTTTCATAATATCTGATTTTGGGATAAAAATGGTGTAAAAATGCCCCTTTTCAGTGTTAATATTTCATGCTTTTTAGATAAAGGAAAATAAGTTTCAACAACGACAAAAAAAATAACCACTAAACAAAAAATACTTTAAAAAGTGAAATTTCATGGAAACCCTCAATTGCATGAAATTGGTCAATCATGGTTTAGTGAAAACAATACTTGTCAATTAAAAGTTCATTCATTACTTTTTTTTTTTTTCTGACTGACTACTTAGCACAGAGTCATCTTCCTGGATGTTCTGCAGGTACTGAGTGGGCTTTATAAATCCTTATAAACTTTTATTCATGATGTAATACAAAATTGCAGCCTTCCATCTACAGTTTCATAGACTGTGCTAGTCCTATATGAGTGATTTTCCTCATAAAGTACCCATTTAGCCAAGAATGGATTCCATGCCTGTGCAAAGAAAAATTCTGTATTCAATAAAAAGCAAGCAATCCTATGTATTGAACTGATGTCAGAGGTAAAGAGAGTCTTCAGGGAAAGGATGCCTCAGATGACTGTATGTTATGGAAAAGATTGTTCACATGCACAGAATGGACTCTCATTTTGCTATCTTCCCTTTCAATAGGCTTTGTATACCAGCAGTGACATTAGTCAGAGGACAAAGCGAATGACAAAATAGGGAAGGTGAATGTAGGAAAGGCAGAATATTGCATATATTTCTATTGCTAACCTAGATAAAAAACAGACTTCTCTCCCTGCCACCCCCCTCTTTGGATGTTCTAGAGAAATGTGTTGTTCTCAATGTTTTCCACATGAGCTTTTGTTTAAAGAAAAAAAAAAACCCAACATGTATTATTTATGCTTTTTAAACAAAGGGCATATTTTCACTTATAAAACTTGAACTGAAACAATTAAATGGAACAAAGAGTACAGCTTGTATCAGCAGTTTACTATAGTAATTCTAATATTTCAGACATCAATAAACTTAGTTGATTGTTATTTAATGTCAAAGTAGTTACTCCAAAATGATATAAAATTGTCATCCTAAAGAAAACAAAAGTAATAAACCTTTCACTTTCTTCATTAAAGACTCTTTCACACTAGTTTCTATAACTTAGTTATATAATATGCTAGTGTAAATATTTAAAAGGGGAAATTAAATTATCTTTGCTAGGGAAGATTTCTTAACCTCTGTTAATCCATCTTTTATTACTATTGTAAAAGGAAAATATTAATTAAATCTGTCAAATCTTGGACACACTTAAATGTCTTTAATGATGTAATCTATATTTTTCCTTCTTCTTCCAGCTTTCCAGGAATGCCTGCTTTCTCCATTGACTTATGGCACTTATGAAGAGCAAAATCCTGGTCCAAATGAGAACAGTACAGCATATTCCTTGATTTATATGCAGTCTTCTCCTTTACACTTACATGAACTAATGCTTTTTTGCTCTCTTATTATCTGAAATGACAGCAAGAAAAATTGTCATTCCAAGCAATCATCTAGGTCCCAGTTCTGCAAAATGAGTAAATGAAATTTAGGCATTTTGTTAGACTAGGAGAAGACTGAGAATCAAGTGATTTTGGTAAAACTGGAACTATGAAATTGGCCTACTTGTCGGGCTGGGAACAAGACAAGAAAGTTAAATAAAGTGTTGACAAAACATGGGACATTTTTCACTGTGTGGCCTGTTGACTAATGGACATTGTAACAGGCTGGACAAATCATTGAATACATACACATTTTTAAAACTTAATAGTCTTCTACTTACAACTTTATAAAAGCTCTAAATAAATCTGTTCAGCAATAGCTGGAACTAGAACAAATATTGGTCAATGAGAAGCAGAATATAAGTTTTGCTTTCAATAAGAACAGAATTGAAACTAAATTGTTCCACATGGAATAGGATAAAAACTAGAACTAATTAATTACTGTGGAACTAAATAAACTCTGGTACTGTAGTGGGAGCCTAAGGGCCTATCCACATGGATTCTTTTTTGGTATCAAGGCCATGCTTGGTTACAACTAGAAGGGCCAAGATTTATCCAAGTTTAACTATCCTGTGGGTATACTGGAGATACAGGAACCCAAGGTGAATTTAGCAGGTTTTCAATCTGGACTCTAACCGGAACTGTAAGAACTCAGTACTGCTTATAACAAAGTGCTGTAATGTCTACAAATTGAAATGAACCATAAATGTGATTACAAAGAAATATGTATAAAGATGAAATACCTCATATTTCAGTCACTGTAGAGTCATTTAATGATTCTATGTTGTAGAAGTCTTTGGATACCTAAGAGAACACCTGTAGCTTTTGTTTGTGTTTTGATAAGCGTTTAAGGCTACTCATTACATAGTCAAGTTGCTAGTCCAAATCTTCCTCCTCACACACCCTCTCAGTTTAAATGGGCTGCCATTTCATACCATGGACATGGCAAAACATTTGATTGCTTACATTTATATTGTCTCCAAAGGTCACAGTGATGGAATTAGATGTTTCTTAGAAAACATTGCTATTAACCATATTGTGCCCACCTAATCAAGTGCTCAGTATTCTTAGGGTTTGCCTCTCTCTTCTGATTGTTTCCAGTTAGGTTGAAAGTTGTCCAGCAGCTCACTCTCCCACTCTATCTATGCCACATTGCACTTCGCTGAGAAGAGGCCAGAGACCAAGCTGAAGCTACATGGAGAAAATAGCAACAAAGGATCTGGCCTCAGAATCACATCTTTAAGAAAGCAATGGTATGAATAAGGCATGAACGACCTTAGAAGAAAATTCAATAAAGGGACAAGGGAAAAAAAGAAGGAGGACACAATGTGAGGTCATGAGGTTTCTTGTAAACTCAACACAATGGTGAAGTCACCACTGTGTGTACCTGCTTCCAAACATGTCTAGCACCTGTGTTGCAGAAGAAAAACCACCAGCATAGTTTGATAACATACTGATCTTTAATCTATAAAGAAGATTAAATTCAAAGTTTAACAGTATAAAAGAATAAAAAATACTTTTTTAAACAAAAATACAAGATAACACACAGTTGCATCTTGGTTCCTCCTGCTGCCAAAACTTAGAGTACACAACTTCTGGGGTACAATTCCACCGCATACAGTGTTTCCTATCACTTCAGCATATGTTGAAATTGAAATGAAATATTTTTATTTGCAAACAAGCTTTTCCAGGTACAAGCTCAAGACAGGGTGCTACTGTGATTAGCTGGTCACATGTCAGATCCCACACGTTATTTAAACAAACCATCATGAAATCACTGCTTGTTGCAACATTCCTGCCTTTTCACGTCAGCTCCTAGAGGCCAGAAGTCCATCTACCACTGCCTCGATCAACTCAACTGCTTGTAACTCACAGTTGTTCAAGACATGAACCTTTTTTACTTGGATCCTCTGCTCTAAATTCACCTCCACAAGTTCTTATTCCCCTATGGCACAAATACAGAAAAGCACCGGGGGGAAAATGACAGAGAAGGCATGAAAACTTGCAAGAACTTCTTTCAGACAGCAAGGAAAAAGCCTCAGGCAGCGGCGATGTGAGTAGCCCTTCTTGATGTCAACCACTGACAATTTGTTCAGCTTTACCTCTAGTGGACCCTGAGGCAAACCAAAGAGTTGATGGGGGCAGCCAGGTGTAGGGGAAGAAAAGGTTGAACAATCTGTTTAACCTTCCTTGTCTCTTTATAGTTTAGATTTACAATTCTGACCCATATAAACTCTGCACTGTCCTCAGAAGCATGATTCTAGGCCCAGGTTGAACCAGACTGGAATGATATTACAATCCACCTTACTCCTTGTTGTCTTCCTGTATTTATAACCCAAGTGAAAACAAACAGGGGAAAAAATTCTACCAAAACTTATAATGGAAGGCATCTCAAAAATGGATAAAAGGATACATTTTTCTACAAGTTTCCCAACTGTAGAATAACTGTGTTGAATCCATTAGTGGTTGCATTCTTATTGCATGATCTTTGGAAAGCATCATAATAACAATGAAAACAAAATGAAATAAAAATATTGCCACCGATGAAAAATCTGTTCAGTTAAAAACTGCAAACCCAAGTAAACAGCAATTTACACACTTCCTTCAGTCCTGCAAGCCTGAAACATCCAACACTGCCTGGACAAAACTGAAAATACAGTAGACTTTTCAGAAGAACTCTACTTAAATGACAGTATTGGTTAAGAAAAACAAGGCATACTATTGAAACCAAAATACATAGGATCAGGTTTCTATGCTACTGTTTGCCAAAAAGCTATTTAAAAAAAAAAAATTGTTTAAATGCAAACTTTTACATCTTCAACATGTTTTACATATTTCAGACAACAAAAGAATACACATACATTGTATGTGTTAATTTTCCAAAACTAGCCATTACATTTTCACAGATTAAAAAAAAAAAAAAAAAAAAAAAAAATACAAAGTGAATTTACATTTTTAAGTACAAAGTGCAAATACTACAGTTGTTTTTTATTGCCTTTTGGTGAGGAAATCTCCCACATGTCAGAGATCTGCCTTGGATCATAAGCTGTTCACCCTTGCTTCTTAGAAACTTGCTGAAAGAAAGTTGAAAAAATGTTCATTATTAATGATGTTTTCAAGTAATCAAGTATAAACATTTATCTCTATTTTTCATCAGTGTCTACATGCCACTATCAGAACAAGAGTTCTGCACAAATACATATGGGGAAGGAAAAAATCCCTGCCCTGTAGTCCTTCATAGCATCTATGAACAAGGATAGGAGCAACATCTTTACTATTTCTTACCTACAGCCTCTTTAAATCTGTACCTGTCAAACACACAGTTTTAGCAACTGCCTGGGCAAGTCCCTGATGCAATATACCTTTCTGTGGTATGTGATGTATAAGGAATGGGCTGCTCGCCAAAGTCTTATGAACAATCTATAGTTTCCTTGTAAACTTTTTGCTAGGCTGCAAAAGACCCTCTGGGTCTCATTGATAGTGTGTGTGTGTGTGTGTGTGTATGTGTATGTTTGTTGGACAGGGTGGAGCTGAGCAAGGGAAATATACCTGGCCACTACCCCAATTCTGTCAGATCCATCATGTATTTGACCTCTTTTAGAGCAACCACAGTTAGCACATTAATACACATATCTGTATCTGCTTGCTTTCAGTAAGCTTGTATGTGCATATACACATACAGATGTGCACATATGTAAAAAAAAAAAAAATTAGGAATGCATGCCTAAGCACACCTAAACATATATATAACTGAACTGCTGCAATAAACTAGTAGAAAATGAGCTCTTGAGTGCCCATCTCCTGATGCAAACCTGATCACTTTTTAGATGGGTGGTTTCCTTTGAGTAGATCCTACCCAGCCCGGTTGCTTTTCAGTAACTTCCTTTCAACTAAAAGTTTTTGTGATGAAAGCCACCTTCTGCATTTGAAGCCTTGTATTGTTTAAGTATGAAACTGCCAACAGATGGTTTGCTGAGCCAGCCTTAATTCAAGGCTATCATTTGTCAGCAACAGCTTTTAAAATAATTGGTGCTGAGTCAGCAAAATTATTGGACAAAATTAAAAAACATAGACTCTCTAAGACACTTTTATTACACATTCTGCAAGTCAGGATCTGATTACAAGAAAGGGGAGAGGGCTTGTCATGCTTCAAGTGTAATGCACGTGTGCCAGTAATTGACATTATATAATTAAAATAACCCCTTTGAATGTTTTTGAGTTCCGACAGAGTAATTGTTTTCAGGCTGCCTTGTTTAAAGCGTAAGTAATTTGTGGGGGAATTTGAAAAGTTAAGACCACAAATATTTGTTTAAACAAACAGAAACTTATCACATCCCTCTAGCTGTGAGAATATTTTATATTCCATCAAAGTATGTAGGAGGTCTCTGGTAGAACCCACAACCCATGTTGAGCTTGCCTTAGGAAGTGTGAACCTAACATCAAAAAAATCAGAAATAAAGCAAGTAGCAGACTGACTAGCAGCAATGAGAGAAGATTTCTTTCGGCTTGTGGGAAGGTTCACCTTGAGTTTGGTTTTTAACAAATTAATCTAGTTTTTTGATAGATAGGAATATGTTAACCACAATTATGTTTTGGGGATATTTTTAAGCAAATTCCTATTTTCCCAGCTGCAGGGTTACCTGAGCTGTTCTTATAATATGTTTATATTAATATTTTAAAAAACAGTACATCATTTACTCATGCTTTTGTGGGCATTAATAACTTAGTTCCTCTAACTAACATAAAACTGAGGCAAGAATGGTATGAAGATGATGTATGAGTTTCAGACCGTAGGAGATTCAATAAGGCCAAATGCCGGGGGCTGCCCTTGGGCCACAACAACCCCCAGCAGTGCTACAGGCTTGGGGAGGAGTGGCTGGAGAGCTGCCAGTCAGAGAGGGACCTGGGGGTGCTGATTGACAGCTGGCTGAACAGGAGCCAGCAGTGTGCCCAGGGGGCCAAGAAGGCCAATGGCATCCTGGCTTGTGTCAGCAATAGCGTGGCCAGCAGGGACAGGGAAGGGATCTTACCCCTGTACTCAGCACTGGTGAGGCCGCACCTCGATTCCTGCACCTCGATTCCTGTGTTCAGTTCTGGGCCCCTCACTACAAAAAGGACATTGAATGACTCGAGCGTGTCCAGAGAAGGGCAACGAAGATGGTGCAGGGTCTGGAGCACAGGTCATAGGGGGAGCAGATGAGGGAACTGGGGGTGTTTAGTCTGGAGAAAAGGAGGCTGAGGGGAGACCTCATCGCCCTCTACAGCTCCCTCAGAGGAGGTTGCAGAGAGCTGGGGATGAGTCTCTTGAACCAAGTAACAAGTGATAGGACAAGAGGGAATGGCCTCAAGTTGCACTAGGGAAGGTTTAGACTGGGTATTAGGAAGCATTTCTTTCCAGAAGGGGTTGTTGGGCGTTGGAATGGGCTGCCCAGGTTAAGTGGTGGAGTCCCCATCCCTGGAGGTGTTTAAGAGTCGGGTTGACATAGCGCTGAGGGACCTGGTGTAGTTGGGAATTGTCAATGTTAGGTTAACAGTTGGACTGGATGATCTTCAAGGTCCTTTCCAACCTAGATGATTCTGTGATTCTTTGATGATTCTTTTCCTAGACTATTCAAGTAACTGGCAAATTCACAAGTCATTCTTTGGAACCAGGCAAAAGTTCAAGGAAGTTGTGCCCATGTTCTCCAGAAAACAGAATGTTTAGGATTAATGATTATAAAAATACGCACACACAAATGAGAAACCATTTTTCAACCATTTTATCTGAGCTTCCACTTGATTCTCTCCTTTTCAACGTGTACCTTTCCTTGATTTAAAAAACCTGCTTTTGTATAGATCTGAATGCCTTAAGTAGCCAAAACTCCAGGAATGACATACAATGGTGTTATTAGGAAAATCAAAATCAAGTCTTTGCAGAAAACTGATGCAAAAACAAATCACAGATTATGTTGTCAGGGCACTTCATATTTTATTTGCTACAATTATTCTGCAGATCTAACCAGTTTTAGTTTAAATAAACATCAGCAGACTGATGCAAATCCTAGTTCTCCAGCATAATTTTGCTCAGCCAGCAAAGGCTTTTCAAAGTGACGGCCCTTTTCTCTATATTTTAAAAGGTGTTTAAAGCCACCATATAATAATTCAGTGGGGTATGTGAAATAAACAGATTTTCATAGGGCATGGGAAATGCATGGCTTTATTCACAAAGAGTAATTTCAATCGATGTAAATTTATGTCCATCCTGTGACACACAGGAAAGTTAATGGAATTCAGTTAAAGCAGAAGATAAATTAAGATAAAGCAGTGCACATTTTAAAGTGTATGGGAATGCTATCACTCAGGAATGCAGAAGACTTATATGAGGGCTCAATTACACTCACTTAATTATCACTAACCTATATGCCAATTTACACTTTACTGAGAACATCCATATGCAGACGTAATCCACTTTGCATTTATGCACATTTACTCTGCACCTGTAGTTTACTTATTCAGCTTTCCTTAGATAGAACTTAAGTCCAAATTTATTAATCAGAATGCTACTCTACATTTTCCAGTCAAGTCTGCAGAATGGCAGATTAATACAGCTTGAAGCTGCACTGAAATGTGCTAAAACCCCAAGAAGTTCAGCTGGGCAAGGCAAGAACAGAGAGCTTGCTCTCCTCAGTACTCACCTGCCTGCTGGATGAAGTGCTCTCAGTGTTGGTTTTAGGGGCCGCTAAAGGAAGGAAAATAAAACATAATAAATATGGTTTGCAAGTTATATATAGCATCCCCAAGAACTGAAGCCCTCATTCTAAAAAGGTATTTTTTAGACCAGGGTATCTGAACAGATTTCACTAAAGGAGGTAAAATATTTTAGATCTTTCATTGAAACATCCACTTTTTTTCTTTCCTTAATACAGGTGTTGCTTCTTTCATGGAGTTATATGAAAGATGAATGGCAGCATTTCTTACCAGTTAATATGACATTTGCTTAGGAGAGCTTGCATATAGTCAGTGTCAAGCATTTCAAACTTATTAAATCTTTAGTAGTAAAGATTGCCTATTATCCCTGGTGAGAAAGAACAATGGACAAGCAGACTGTCTGGAAAGCATTCACTTTGCTTAAAGATATTGCACAGGAACAGCTCTATGAGCCAAAGACATAGTTCACATTTAATCTGCAAAACAAGATTATTGCTGGATTTTAAGTTTCCTAGTGGCAAAGCCCAAGACAGTGCTCTAAATGGGGAAAAAACAAAAAAAAAAACCCAAAAAAAACAAAACAGCTGCATGAGTCTGCTGGCCCATTCAACTCCACAAACAAACGGGAGGCGAGGAAGGAACTCATTCTCTTGGTTTTCCATACCAGTTTGCTAGTCAGTCAAGCTGTACTGGGACAAACAAGAACAAAACTGGACCTTGAAAAATACTGTGGCAGCTAGCATTCCCTGAGAAAGTATGTTTTGCAGCTCTATGGCTTTTATTATTGCTCTCACAGACACCTGGGACTCACACAGAATGATACAGAGCCACCTCCTTATCTCAGCTCTCACATCACCTTATCTCAGATCTCACCTCTCAGGTGATGGGGTCTCACCTATTCCTAGAAATATAACTAGCTGCAGTGAAGTGGTGATTGATTTCTTTTGTGCAACTGAAAGGATTATCAGAAAGGAAATTTTAGTTGTCAAGCAGAAGAAACAAAACAGAATGCTGATATTCCAACAAAAGCTATTTTTACTGTATTGTCTTTAAAATTAAGTATTCCTAGGAAAGCAACAAAATTATTTGATTTAGAATCTTCTTCCAACTGGGTTCCATTATTTTTTCAATGTAGAAGTCCTGAGGTATGTTTTCCTTCCAAAAATGAATGTTCTCATTATTGACTACATTTTTTTGGAGAAGCTCTGTCAAAAATCTCGAGTTATGGTGAACATAATTTTTACTTTAGCAAAATCTCTGTGTGATCTTCATATAAAATCATGTATCTTAACAACTTTTTTTTCTGTAACAGGCAGTTGACCCTAATCTTTGCTTTTTCACCAGAATGGGTACAGGAAAAACTGGGTTTTGCTGAGTCTTTCTATGGCTTTCCTTTATGTTCTGGAGCAATGATTTTGGACCCAAATTTAATCTATGATAAAAGAACACAGAATGCCAGCTGCAGCAGGACAGAAGTGTCTTGAAACAAATGCTAACATATGAAGTGACCATAATGGGTTCCACTTTAAAACACTAGTCTGCCAAATAGGATAAATGAAAATGAAGGTGTTATGCTTCAGTTTTCACATTTATAGTATAAAGATAACAACAGACATCCACCTTCAAATAGGTATTTTTTTATATATATATCTATCACTCAAGCAAAAATTGCAAGGTATTATTATTAGGTCCACAAAACCCACAGAAAACAAATCCTGGATTTGATAAACTCATTTTGAGAGATCTGCATCTGTGACCCATAGACAATTTACTTTATTAGTACAATGTAGACTATACTGTCTTTCTGCAGTGTTCCCTTTCTAAACTTAAATATAACCAATTTTGTGGAAACCATTTGATTTCTGACTGCATTTCCCACTTGAGTTGCTTTTCATTTCCTATGACACCTTTGTTTTACTGCCCTGGCTTCATTTTAAGGTCCCAGACAAACAAAACAATTAGCCTACATTCATGTTCTACAACTTCTTACAGTATGGGGGTCTACTGTTGCTGTTTATAACTTCTCTTTTTTTAAAAATTCTTCCTTATTTTAGGGAAGTTGTTCCCCTTTCTACCAGTTTGGCAGCAAGGTAAGGTGGCTGTGTACCAGCAGTTGTTCCACCTGTTTGGCAGATGACCGCATTCCTCATCGTATCTCTAAACCACATTTGAGAAATGAGAAGTCATTAGAAAGCTCAACAATGTGCTTCCTTCTCAGCAGGAATCCAAAAAGCACAGATGTGATACTTCCAGTCATTCAGGACATCGTACTGTAATAACATTAAACTGGCTTTTCGATGACTGTTGATGTTATCATATCCTCTTAGGTTTCCTACTGTAATACATCTAATGGTCAGAATCAATGGGAAGTTTTTGATTCTGTTGGAGCAAAGTGATGATTTGCCTACACAGAAGCAGCTTTCCTGCCATCTGTCCTAAGCCACAGCTGCATTAGCTACAGACAGGTGTATTCTTTTATTTTGTATACTTCTGGCATACACAAATATCAGATGTCATCAGCTTTGAAGAATCTAGTGAAAAAAATAGTTAGAAAAGGTTCTTACTATGGCGTTTCTTTGTTTCTGCTTTACCTTCTTCTTTTGTTACTCCCAGGCAGCCCATTAATTCTTGAACTGACAAGGACTTATCATTGTTCACATCACAGTATTCCACAAACTTCTTCACACATTTTTTGGGTTTTGATTTCTTTCTTAGGAACCTCTTAAATGGCTTGATTTCTTTCTTGCCAATGTCACCACTGGAATTTTTATCTAGCTGTTTGAAATACCAATGGACCACTCTCTCTTCCAGAGTATGATTTGGGTCAGGCTCTGAAACCCTGAAAGAGAAAATAAAAGTTCAGTCTTAATTCCGATACATAAGCTGCAGTTTATACCTTTATTTCAGAACACTTAAATCATTGTCAGATGCTCCGTTACATAAACCTCCCTGCTTTTGGCCACTATCTTCTTGCAGTGAATCCCTTTTCTTTTCACTTTGGCTAACTGTATCCTAAATTTTACACTAAGGGCTGGAATCTGCTCTTAGTTAACTCTCTGAAATTCTGTTGAGGCTGGCACCATACTCAGAAAACAGTGCTTTCTCCTTTCATTTCCTGAAACAGAGAAAAGTGAAGAGAGAAATAAAAGAGAAAAAGACAGTTTCATAGATGTTAGACACATTAAAATGCATAATATACCCAACTGAAGTAGGTCAACAGTCAGCATCGCCAAATACCTAGGCTCCAATTACAATCCATGATGGATGTTCTGAGAGATAAAACACCCAAATGCACTGAATTACAGAGTAAGTTATAACAGTAAACGCCACCTTCTCTTCAGATTGCAAGCACTTGACCTGCAGACACCCGAAGTTTGACAGCACTTACGCATTTTTAATTCTGCCTGTGACTGTTGATAGCATTGGTTTGTTTTACAAGCAACTAGGCAAAATATGAATCAGGAAGGTAGCACACATTCATCAAGTAAAGCCTAAGAGGAGAATAAAGACTGAGAGATAGCTGAACCTGCAGCTACAGATAAAGTCTAAGCTCTGCTGCTGCCGAGAATTCAGCTATCAAGTTCATTTCTGTTTAGTGGACATAGTCTACAGTGGTAAATGAAGTAAACTCTCCTAGATAGGTTCTTGGAAATTTATCCTTTGTGAAGGTAGAATAATTACTTCTGAAAGAGTTCAACAATTCATTCATCACTGCCAGAATCCTTTTAAAGCCACACAAAAAAGATCTGAAACTCACCGGCTAGAAGACAAGGATGGATCAGAGACTGCGTGCACCATATCTGTGGACAGTGCATCCAAAACGCTAGTCAGGAACTCATTCTTCTTGGCCCCAGGACAGCCTAGAAAATCAGATTTTTTTCCTTTTCTTGTTTCCTCTTTTTTTGCAACATTTAAATTCCAACAACAGTTCAAACTTAAGAGATAGATGTGACTCCCTGTACACAAATTCCCATCAGTTATGGACAAGTTCATAACATAATTCAAAGACAAGCATCTAAATTCAGGTATATATTTGTACCATAGAGCAGGAATAGAAAAACATCCTTTTAAACTCAAGCAAGTGGGAATCTGTTTTGCATATCTCAGATTTCTTTCTTTCAATTTTGGCCATTATTTTTCCTTCTTTAAGATATTTTTTCATGGGTGTCACATTTTGAAAAGAACAGCTTTGAAACAACAGAAGTTTTTACATGACACAGACCATTTGAAACACAGACTAGAAGCCCATAGCACAACACTTCTTTCAGATTTCCACTTTTGCTCCTCTGAACTACTAAGGGCTTTCTCAACACAAATTCTCTCAGTGCATTGGTTTTCCTCTCTGTAAAATGACAGTCAACTCCTTGCCTCTTCTTACTTTTCTCTTGGACAGGGGTTAACTCCCCACTATATAGCACCTAGCCCTGTTGGATGCTGCCAGTTGGTATTTTGGTTCATACTGTGGGATCCTACGGTGATGCTATATCATCCTCATAATTACATTCCCTATGCCATGAAGTTCATCTCTGAAAGAAACTGACAGCACATGTCAGACACATAATACGTCAGATAAATATATACTGAAAGATCCACTCTTAGAACAGAGCAGCTGGAGCTGATAAATTCATCTGACAAGCACAGGAATGTTGACACATGGAGGTTTGCTTATACAATACACCTGCTTCCTCTCCTCTTCCCTAGAGCCCTAAGCCAAACACCAGGTCTTCCCCTAGCCCTCCAATAGCTGAGTTAAACTCTAGGATGATCCATGAGCAGTGACATAGAGATGACAAGCTTGAAGCTGGAGCCCATTGCAGGACTTTCACAGACAATACTGTGCTGGAGGCCGGCTCACCCATAGTTCTTAAGTGAAAAAGGGAAATGCTTTAAAGTGCTGTGGAAAAGGAAGATAAGTCAATCAGTATGGATTCATTGTTTCATTACATTTCTCAGCAACCTTTGGAGCAGGCAGTAGGATTATCTGAGCCTGAAAAGCCTCACCTTGCCCAGCAAATTATTTTTTAATACATCCCATGTTGATTCAAGGAAATGAACCTGTTACATAAGCCCATTGCTGTGTTGCAGTAAGAATAGCTCATCTATTATGTATAGCAGCAGCACCCACTACATATTATTAACACATACACGCAGTTATGAGTTCCCTGTCTCTTACGTGTTTGCCTTCAGCACCAGGGAAATTTTATTTCAGTAACTGCAAAAGGTGTATAACAGAAATTCACTGACGTAAGTTTCACTGCACTAAAAGTACACATCTGAAATCAGTTGTCACTATTCTAGATATGTTCCTCTTCCCTTAGCCTTTAACCAGGGTTTTTTTGCCTGTTATAACTGGGGAAAAAAAAAAAAAAAAAAAAAAAAAAAAAAAAGGAAAGGAAAAAAAAAAAAACTGAACAGCTATGACTATAATCCTAAATTTGAGTTCAGTGAAACAAGCACCTGAGCTTTCTCTGTAAGGCACAGAAATGAGAAGGGTGGCAAGAGATTAACGGGGAAAGATAGAAGACTATACCAACTGGTTCCTGGCAGCAATCAGTGCATAATTCAGAAGTATATTCTCTAGAGCAAGGAGCTTGCTGGTAAGTCTCAAACACTACAACCGTGTAATTAAATCGTGCGTTGCAATTTAAATGAAGCCATGTAACTTTGGAAGTCACAAAAGCACATTTTCCCAGAGATGAGCAGGCAGAGCCCAAGCAGTTCCATGCAGAAGGCACATACTGCCATGTTAGCACAGCAACCTCTCTGAATCGAGCAACTAAGTCTCTGAGCAACCTACTGAGCTCAGCACTACATCTTGCTAGCAAGGCTACTTGGCCTGTGGACCAGGGCTGGTTTTCTTCAAAGGACAGGCAAAAAGGGTCTCCACGTTCGAGGGTCTCCATGTAGACCTATCTTTAACGGTACAAGCTTTATCCTTTTCACGCTGGGGTTGTGTTACTGTTGTCAGGCAGAAGCCTGAATCCTGCTCCAAACACGAGCTATGAATTGATACAGGGCTCGTGGAAAATGCAGACAACAATACCTCAGCATATAACAATGCAGCGCAATATGGAGACAAGACAATTTGACTTTTTGTCCTTCCCTGTCCTTTTTTGGATAGATAATAATGTTAATATTCAATTTGATTTAGGAGCTCCACCTGAGTTTTCATGTTAGTTATTAATGTATTCCTGAACCATCTGGAAGAAACAAAAATGTATGTTTTAAGTAGTTTCCACTGCTGTTCAGGGACCTGCTGAGTGTACTTATGCTACAGATGTAGAGATCAAAATCATGACTTAGCTTGCTATTTATGAGATACAGCTAGGTAGGAGAAAGTATCAACTTCTAAATTCACAAGAAATCATGGGGGAAAAAATTCCATCATTTAAAGCCTGTCTGACAGTTTTCCCTAGAAATAAGAAAGGTTTCTAAACGTGTATTGCATAAAGGTGCAATAGCAGCTGACAGTAATACAAATCTTCTCACAGAAAAAAATTGTCACTGTTAAAACAAACACAATCAGTTGCTGTGAAAGATTCTAAATTATAACTCTACTTAACGTAAAATGACACCCCACAAAATCCTCACCAGTTAAATACAGAGAAAATATTCAGTTTCTCCCAATTACAATTTTTGCTGATGTGTGGGCAATCACACAGCAATTTACCTCACAGTGAAATCTCTGTTCTTTGCAGGTGTTATTAACTCAGAATAATTCTCTGGAGGCTTCACGCTAAGCTTTAATTTTCAACTAACTTGCGGATGAAATGGCAAGACTGGGGCAGCTTTAGCTTGATTGTAATGAATAATTCACTCTTACTGGACTAAATACAGAAAGGGAAAGACTAGTCCCTTATGGGAGTCATGCTTCTCACTATGGTTTATGTGCTTCAATTTCTTCTTCTGCAGCTGCTTGCCCTGTGTGGATTTGACAGCTTACATAAATAATAATTTGTTGTTAAAGGGTTGAAGTTGAAACCACATGGAGTTAACCTACAGGTCTAGAGATGTAACACAGAGTTGAGTGTTTGCTTTAAGGATAGTTTTACCCAGAGCAAACCTTAGACCAACAAATACATACCACAAATGACGGGAACATACAAACACCTCATTTCAGCTATAATATAAAGGTAATCAAAGAATCGTCATTATACATTATATATCTCATATGTACATGTGTCTCTCTGTAAATATATCTACCTTCAGTACTGGGGATGGATTTCTGAAGTTAAATATGTGGGACAGTTGTCTGTAAACCTTCTAAAATATTCACCCAAGTGCCTTGGAGCTCCCTGCTTGGTTGATAATAATCTACTACTGTCAGTCTTGGAAGATTATCTTTTTACAGCACATCTGAAGTCATGGCTGGAAAAGTATTTTGTTCATTTCTGTAAAAATGTGCATACATTAGGTAAGATTAATCACTTTAAAAGGGAGTTTACGTTAATCTTCCTGCAAGAGAGGAAACTGTCTTGAGTCAGTCACTCAAGTAATTAAAAGCATGATAACTTCCAACTGGCAAATCTAAAGCTTCTTTTTTATTCCGTTTGTTAATATGAATTATTATGAAAGGCTTAGCAGTGTACTCAAATACAACGATCACTGAGATACTTCTGAAGATTATAAATAAATTCTGATCAGAATGATCAGAACTATTCATGTTTCTTTTACAGCTTTGACTTCACTGAAATACAGTGGTATAAAGGAGAAAATAATTTAACAAAGTTTGTCAGTGCTACTGGGAGAGCAGACAATACAAAGAATTATTTTTTTTTTTTACTTTTAATCTATACACACATATATGCACAGTTCATGAGTTTATTTGTGCTGATCCATATAAATTAGAAGTCTGTAATTGTCTAGATATGCTGAGGGTCCTCTTCATTTTTTGGAGGATTTCCTGAGCTCTTCCTGAGCCCCATTCCAGGAAAAAAACCCTTCAAAAGATGAACCTGGGAACTGAAATTTGTAACTTTGCCGGAGACTAAAACTCATGTCCTCAACAGAGTCAGTGGTTTTATGGCTCACTGCAGTTTTTCCCCCACTGCATCTCCTGGTAACCAATTACAAACACTAATTATCTACCTCTTAGTCTCTATTGTAGAGGAGCTGAGAGAATTATCATCTCTTCTTTCTCTTTTTTCTTTCTTTCTTTCTCTTCTTTTTCTTTCTTTCTTTCTTTCTTTCTTTCTTTCTTTCTTTCTTTCTTTTTCTTTCTTTCTTTCTTTCTTT